AACTCTAGAAAGTCGGTATCGTACATCATTGGACAATATCAAAAAACAGGATTTAGAAATACAAAAAATCACATCCGACAACACCAAAAAAGATGAAGAAATTACAAAACTTCGTGCAACTAATGCTAAATACAAAGGTACAGAAGATCCTGCTGCTGTTCTTGCATTGAAACAAGAGATAGCTAATTTAAGAGAACAATTGGCCAAGGTCAAGTCTGCTAGTATGAAAGGAACACCTACTCCACCTACATCAAATCCACGCCAAGAAACTAGCTACTTAACTAATGGTATTATTATTGGTATTATTTAATATTTTAAGTATTATTAGCATTTAAATTTAAATTTAAATTTTACCATCCACGATATACAGCTTGAATTTTAGTTGCAGAGTCATTGCGAAGCATATCTTGATATCTTTTCCTTGCAATAATACCACGAATAACTATTTTAAAAATAGTAAATTTTTTTATAATAAAAAAATTTAAAAAACCACAAGTATATATATACATATATTATACTATATTTACCAGTTTGCAATTTGTAAATTGCATTTTTGGCACGTAAATAATAAATAATATAGAAAACCATTTTACCAAGGACACAGTCACAATGCATCATTCTACGAAAACATATTCACGTAGAATTGCAAATTCAGCATCAACTTGTCCAAATTTAATATGACACCACCATTCAAGAATTTGTTAAGTTTTGAATTATTTTTTTGTATTTCTGCAATGAGTTGCTGTTTTATGAAAAATATAAGTAAACACACGCGGATATATCACAAAAAATTCTTTCGGATAAGAAGAGCAATAATTCCAACAAGAATCAAAGTTGGAAAATATTACCAAATGCCATCTGTTGGAAATTCCAAAAAGTTATTTGACGCGAAATTAATTAATTAATGTGAATATATCAACGTTCGCTTTTATTAATGAGTTCTTTAGATACTCGTTTATAACGACTATACAAATAACCTCTGTTACGACAAACCTTAGATTTAATGATTGTGTTTATTTATCGAATTTCTGATTGAACCTCAGTTTAGCGGATAGTTTGGGAAATTAGAAGCTGTTATATCAAGAAATTCGTTATATTGAGAGATTTTATTATTAGTAATAGGTAAACTCAATAAGTCAGCCGCGAATGGCTGAGCATGTTATCGAGAGAACCGACTTATCGAGACCGTCTTACAGATAGCACGTGACATAAAAATTTTATTATTACAAATAATAAGATAAAATATATAAAATATGAAAAAAAATTATTTTTTACTAAATAAATAAATTATAAATAGTTTTTTAAAACAATAATTATTTATATTAATCTTTTTGTTAGAATTTCAGAAGTTGGAAATCAACCAACTTTTTTATACATATTTCCCGAACACAATAAAACGTAATAAAAATAAATAAATATATTTTTCACAATACAAACAGAATATTCTTTCTAAATCAGGCTGTAAATTATCGTATTCACATGCAAAAAGTCTTATTTATTAATAATATCATAAGTCACAAATTTGTGACTTCTACGGTTTAAGATACAATCAATAAACCTGATGATACCAAAATGAAATAATAAAAATATCGCGACGAGAATTTCTATTAAAATTCTAAAAAAAAAAATCATACGTTACTAAAAGTAGTAATGATGATCTTTTATTTAATG